ATTGTACAGTGGCATTAAGTGCCATAATGTGCACCTCTGCCTACCCCTTCGGGGATAAAGGGCGTGATGTTATGTTATGTTAAGTTTGAAATCGCCAACGCGCATTGAGCAAGCGGTGATTAATGCTCAAACTTTCTCTGTGTCTGATCAGCAGTGGTCACTTATAGGCTGTTAATGATGATTTTTGTTTATATATGTTTGAGAGTATCAAAATCAATGTTTTGCAGACGGATCACCTGATGGTAAGCGGTCAGCGCCGCCCATGGACACCCGCAACACCAGAGGAGTCACAGGTGCGTTGCCGGCCTTTTAAAAAGGAGTACGCTCTTTTCTTGAAGGTTAGAAGGTCGTATCGGTTCGGAAATACCGCCGACAACAGATGTAATGTAAAGTAATGTACATCTCTGCCTTCCCTTGCGGGGATAAAAAGGCGTGATGTTATGTTTAAGGCATATTTAAGGCAATACTATCTATAGGGTAAAGCAATCCTTACCCTCAAACATGTTGTCAAAAAAGTAAACAAAATACGGAAAAAAACATTGTAGTCAGAGAGGATATAAGCAAAAAGTAGTTCAAAGTAAATACAGATAAAGGTAAAAATGTTTTTACCAGCACCAGTAAACACACAGCAACAATGTTTTCACCAGCACAATGCTAGATTTTCGCAGCAATGCGGTAAGAACTTTTAATTCAATGAACTATGCACTTCCAATTTTCTCAAAGGAAGGGAAATTTTCAAATAGCCGTGTTGCACATTGGTGTAGCCTGCACTCTGTAGTGAGCTTATAAATTTATCTGCACAAAGGTTGTAGGAATCCTCGCGCACTTCCCTGTGGCTTGGGGCTCAGGACTCAAAGAGCTAGATCGCGATAACGCGAAGACGAGGACTCGTAAGAGACTTGTGCAAGAGTGAGCAATTTATACCTTTTAATTTAAATATTGAATTGAATTGTGCAGCTAATGGTAATTTGACTCTATAATTGACAACACTGTTAGTGCGGTGTCTGGGCAACCGGCTGCCACGAAACGTGGCGCGGCTTCGATATCCGCACGGAGCAACTCTTTGTGTGATCCACAAATTGTTGTTTCTGGTCTGGGTGTCATGTGTATGTGAACTTGTATGTTTGTAAAGGCCCCCACGACACAGGAGAAAATACTAGTGTGGAGCAACGTTTAAAAAAAAAACAATATGGATTTGAGTATTTAAACTGTCAGACACCGCGACGACACCGGTGACCGCAACCTATCGTTCTTTAATTGTGTTTATAATGACGGTAGTCAAAGGGATATGGTTTGATTGTTTTGTTGGTTAATACATTTTTGCTTGCGTTACTATTATTATTTTCTTACTAACAAAGTCCCAAAACTTACTAATTTTTATTTTAATATAAATAAAAGATAAATTTCTTCTCAATTATGAGAAGAAATTTATCAATGATATTTAAAAATTATACTAATGTACTAACTTAGTTTTTTAATATTTCTGTCATAAGAAACAACTAAAAACTACTGAATTTTTACTGTCATGTTTTTAATCGTGACATGATTAAAACCTTTTTGTTTATTACCTTCACTTCCAAACTACATTTCTATATGCTTTCTTTTCATTCTTTCAATTCTAAAATAACATCTTTATAAGCCTTTTTGGCTCTCTGCTGCATCAATCTATCCAAACAAGCTGACCGCGCACTCATATAGCCTAATGGCTAGCGGCTAAGTCTTCACATGGTATTTTACAGTCTCAGTCAATAGAAGGCTCTTCTTGCTTTAATCATAAAACTAGTGCTGCATTTGTTCCTTGTGTAGCTGGTTTGAGTACGGATAATAGCTAGTTTTGTTCAGCGTTTGTTGTAATTGTAAAATAGCTATTATTACCTTATTATTTTACATTGAGTTCTAAATTTAGTTATCGGAATAAAAAAACATTTAGCTATTTAGATTTCTATAATCCATTATCTAAATACATGTAGGTAATAGAAAGTCGTGTTAGTTACACTATTTATAACTCAAGAATGACTTAATCGGTTTGGATGAAATTTGGTGGCGAGGTAGCTTAGATCCAGGAAACAAACGTAGGACTCTTTATCCGATACTTTTTTCCTTTTTACCGAAAATCACTAACAGGAGTGGGAAAAACGGAATTATGCGTAGTTAGTATTATTTTTAATAATGTGTAACACCAGGCGCAAAGGACAATGATGACATTTTCGCAGATCCAATCCCAATTAAGAAAGAGATACGCATAAAAAAATTAGGCGTGTAGACAAAAATTAAAACATATCAATTTAAAACTCAACAAAAATTAACTTTAATATCTACTTAATACAAATCAATCTCGCATAAATATTGCCAATAACGCCGTCATTATTAATACAAGAGAAGCATTGATGCCATATCCACTACTCTGCAAGTAACCAAATCTCTTAGCCTGGAAAATCAGTTCTAAAAGAGAGTCCATGACTTCCAAGTTATTAGGCAGGATCTGTTCATTTGGAAGAACGAAGCCATAAGCACCATTGTCTCTTAATTCATAGCAGTACACCAATGGGACCTTCAATTCTTCTTTAACCCAGTCTATGCTGCCGCCTGAGGCGTGATCTGAGAAAATGAGAAAGAATGTTTAGTAAGAAGTGATCTGAGAAAATAAGAAAGAATATTTAGTAAAAATACGGCCATTTCAATATCTGCCTCCAAATCATCTCTTTCCCCTTTAAATCATCTCTTAAGTAAATATTATTGAGCGTGATGCAGTAGGTATCTAAAGCAACCCCTTGCTTGTACTGTTAGGTACCTCTTAAAGGTGAACATCAAAATATTATTAAATGCCACTTATACTAGCTTAGGGGTTCCTTAAAATTTAGGATACGTTGATCAAAATCATTATTCTTATAAACTTTTGATCGGCCATAGAAAACAGTTGATAGGCGAATCCTCCAAGTATCAAGACTAAAGTCGGTCACCGGTGACCTCAATGGCGTTTAATTTGTTAATTAAGAAACCAAAAATGTCGTTGCTATTGTTATTGCCGAGTATAAGTTTTTGATTATATCAGAGTGTCAGGTTACGTTTCTATTTCCCTAGTTTTCAGTTATTCCATACAGGTCGTCACTACGTGTGTGCCTGCCTTTATTACCTAAAACCTATGGTTTTTCAGATTCGAATAGCTTTAGATAATTTAATGCATTAGGATTAGTAGGTGTCTTAATTACCAAGTCCTTTACCTAGTTCAGGTTTTCCAATGTTATCTTCATTCTTTTTAATTTACATAATAATTAAAGGATTTTATTAAAAATGAATAATTGTGCTACTTACAAATGGTTTCAGCAATGTTTCCTGTCCTGTACAGGGTGCCATATTTAGCCGATAACGCTCCCATGCCGCGGGCGCCGATGTTCCTCTGCAAAATCGATAAAAAATACGACCAATAGAATATAAAACATAACTTACCTTAGCTTGATTGCTGAATAAGGTGACAAAACGATAAAACTGTTTTATAATTCTAAAGGTTTCAGTTTAGTCCAGTAGTCAGTGAGTCTGACACTCTCTCGCCTCGCCCAAGGTAAGAGAAGTCATTGGATGATTTTCGCCACTTAAAAAAGCTCAGCGTATCTCATCAAGCTATTTATATTCATTGTAACTGTTGTATTCATTGTAAGTGGGACTCTGTATTGTAGATTTAAAAATCCTAATAGATACAAAGTAATATCCAAATTTATTTCAAAAATGAATTCTACAAAAAACTTACAGCATCATGATAGTTTGCTAGCGGTGCAGTGGTATTTCCAAATGGTATCAACAGCATCTGACCATACGAATGGAAGGACAGATACATGTCAATATTATCACCAATCGACGTTAAGAATTCAGACAAAGATTTCGTCTCCGGTTCTGAGAAAGGTGCTGTACCCGCATAATCGTCGCGAGCAGGATTTGAGCTTGCACCTACAACTGTTGAAACAGAAGATACCACTGTTAATCATTTTTTATCACAAAATAAAGTAGCAGCTAACTTTCTAAAATTATTTAGATACTACTGACAAACGGTGAAAGAAACCATCATGAGGAAACCTGGGCTTATAATTTCTAATTATAAGTTTGTCATCACCAGCCCGCATTGATTATTGCTCAAACTTTCTGCATATGAGAAGAGCTCATTGACTCACTTATAGACTGTTGATGATGGTTGAAAGTAGCAGCTACTATGTAGTATGCAGTTGTTTATGTAATAATACATACCCATCCAGTTATTATCCCAATTTCTGTTTAAATCAACACCAATATGGTCACCAATAGGACGTCTATTCTTGCGCCACATTCTGGCCTAAACATATGAAAACAATTACGTATTTTTACAATCTAACCGACTCGTAAATACATAAGGAAAAGAAGTTATTACGTTTTCAAAACTCCAAATATAGCCATCAGGATTCGTTACTGGGAAGATATACCAATCAAAACCGTGTGCAGCAGCTTTTATGTCTTCATTATCATTTGTCAGCAGCTCATTAGTAATATAGGTTACTGTAGCTGGTGAGATCCATTCCCTGGAGTGAATACCACCTTCCAAAAAGATCGCTCTTCTACCTTCACCATGAGATATTTTAAGACCCTTGATGGCTCGATCTTCATACGTTGTTCCACCAGTAATGACTTCGACTACTTTAGGATAAGTTGCAGCTAAATCATCAATCCAATCGTTGATAGAAGACAGATTGTAGTAACCATCCCATGTCATACTTTTTATATTGCCTCTTGTATATGTCTTTATCACCTCTCTGTCTATCGCACTGTAAATATTAAGAAAACTCTTGAATTGTAAAAATTGTATAGAATTTTAATTCATGCAAAAGTTGACAAGCCATTGAAAGAAGACTAATGGTGAGTTTGTCTTAAGTGCGTCCTAATGCAGTCCTTAGGTAGCTAGATTCCATCATGGTCATCAGCTTGAGCGGCCACATTGATGAAAATTTGAACGATGATGTTGGCCAAATTAATTAAATATCATATTGATAGATATAAAATAATTAAAAGTCACTTATTACTATTGCTTAACTGTAACTAATAAGTACTTACTCTTGAATATTTTCTGTACTGATTTCAAATTCCACGTCTTTAGATTTCAAAATATTTTCAAATTCATTCCTGTCTTTGGGGTTCGTCAGAACGTTCACATAACTAGACGGAGCGACAGGGTCGTTCCAGAAATCGAATCTTGCGTCACTATCCCGTAAAGTTTTAAGAAAATTTACTTGATCCACATCTTTCAGTATAATTTTGTAAAGAGCATAATTGTCGAAACGAAATTCACTCAAAGCGTTTGGTACTGTTAAAACTAAACTAAGAATTATAAACCACATTTTACTTCTTGACACTAAATTTTGATTTGCAATGGTCACTGCCGACCAATTAAGACTGATGTTTCAATTGCCTGATTATTTTTAAGTAATTGTTAATATGATTGTGATCTTGCCACCTTGTGTTTGTTGACGTTATCAAGATAAAATACGTACCTATATCTGCGCAATAAATTTCAGTTAATGATCGTATTTAATAACACGTTATTACAAATAGATTACAGAGAGATAAAACTTGGTGAAGTGTGACTGTAGATTACGTTATCATAGAGAATTTTCGGTTTATCTTATCTTAAAATTAGAACAAGACATAGAAATCTCTGTGTTAAATGATCAAAAATCAGATGGCCTAAAGTATACGAAAACAGTATTAGTCCAAAGGCCAATTGTTCCAACGCCAGATAAATTTTAACTGAGATATAACTTTAAATATTAGACAATGCTTCCATACTAGAAACTGTCAAGTGTCAATTTTATTATACACTTAACATATAGTATAAATGATAATTGAAAAATCAACTCTAAATTAAAGATTTTGATCTGTTCAGAATTTTTCAATAAAAGTGAATAATTATTATAACAGCTGCCTTATTAACTTCATCAATATCTGTAAGTTTACTTCTGTACTATGGACTATAGACCTACTCTATGATAAGAGGGTTAGAATTACAATCGGGGAATGTCTGTACTGAATTAGTCTGTAATCATAATTAATATTTAAAAAATAAAATAAGAAGCAGATAACAGTTGTTAATACCGTGTTTAACCTTCAAAAACAAAAAATAAGAAACGTGACTTTAGCAATCGATGTAAACATAAGTATCATTATTAATCAAAATACCAACTTTACAACAGGTCTTAAGACTAAATTGTTTTATAACACTAACGCAATGCCTTAAGTCCGAAGCAATAAATTTATTCACAATCATACATGCAATATTCGCTGAAATAAAACGTAACATTAACGGCCTGGTTTGCGTTTTGAGTTATTTATTAGCTTCACTACCTATCTTTTATCGGACTGCTGTAAAATACAGGAGAGGTCAGGAAAATAAAGGCGGTACTATAAATGTGGCATTACTTTAGTTTATAGGTACTCAGACATTTGCTGTGCTAATTAGAATTATTCCTGTTTGATGAATGGCATGGTTGAGTAATTTTAATCACTTTTTCGCTGAGTTTATGACCACAGACGGACTCGTTGGTGAAGTTCTCGCTAATGTCTAGTATATGCAACGTAATATAAAGCGTTTCGATTTCATCAATTCTGTCTAACGATAAAGTTTAGTTAGTGACATTTTTAATTTAATTTAATGAGGAATAATGGGAAGAAAAGGCAGAGAAGTTTGATAGAGAAAAACAGAAATCTTTGGTGGAAGAAGATTGAAGGGCGTTAAAATACAACTATTTTACTTTATAGGTTGAAAAGTCCAAAACATAAATTTTACAGAACTATTTACGACTTTCTATACAAATAAAATAAAAGTTAGGTGGTTGTAAATTATGTTTATTAAGTATTAATTTGTTATACAAGGCATATTCTATGTTAAATAAATTATTATGTTTTCGGCTTACTCATGTAAACGCAGCATTTCGCGACCCGCGACGCGGCGACTATCGCAAAATGCTGCTCATTTAATATGAGCTTCTAGAATGGCTTGAAACTAGTCGAGTTCCTCGTCAAATTATACGTGAGTAAGCCGAAAACATAATAATTTATTACGTATGTCTCACGAAAGTTACAATACATATTCTATATTGTTGTAGCTCTTTGGGCTTCGGTTTATTCTGGTCCTCGCATATATCCATATCGTTTAGCTTGGAACAAAATTTCTATTACTGAATCCATGGTTTCTTCACTCGTCGGCAAGATCTGATCTGGTGGAAGAAGATGGCCAAATTGCCCTCGGTCACGAAGTTCATAGCAGTAGGCTAGAGGAATTTTTAGACGCTCCTTTACCCAGTCCACACTTGTTCCTGTGGCAAAGTCTGTAAGAAATCAAGATTTGTTCATGATTTATGTCCTTTTTTTGGTGATAGGAAGAAACTTTCAAAGAACCTCTGACCTCTAGCTTTTGAAAAGATAACCTAGGGAGTGTGATACTTATCGTGTTATCAACGTCGTTTATTTTAAGGGAGGAATATCATCGAATTAATTCGGAAAATTTATCGCAGTTGCGCAGACTCTTACTGACTAAAAACTACCTAGTTTCTACTACTGCACTTCGAGCCGAAGTTCCGGTGACCCGTTAAGTCCTCTGCGACTTAGTACCGATGTCTGGATATCAATATCTGATTAAAATTCTTAGTACTCTCGTACCATTTGCTCAATTACCAATACTGGTTAAGACTGACTAAAAGTATTATTATTTAGCCCGTGATCTCACATTATTTTTTTTTTAATGGGACAAGCCCGCCACAACCTCCCAAAACCGCTGCAACTCCTGTAAGCCAGGATCTACAGTAGATACAACCATGAAAACACCGGAACACTGAAGTCCGGCGCGTCCCAGGGACATGAGTAACTGTCTTGGTTCCCGCAACGAAGTGAATCAGAAGATATTATAAGAGGAGAAGAAGAAAAACTATGGTTTTCACTTCCCTCGGTGAATTACTGCAGGAGACAGAATGAATTAAGCCTAAAGGCACAAAGAAGAGACTGTACAACTGGGTGAAGCCCAGTCGCCAAGCACCACGGAAATTTGACTAAAAACTAAGTGGGTCCTATGTGTGAGCTGTTATACTTGCTTCCAATAATAGGTATGGCAAAAACGCCTAAACGCACGGAAATTCGTTCTAGATTCCACAAGGTCCGTATAATAAACTACACCTGACGAAACAATTAAATTATTTAACATAGTGTTACGTTCATATTGCCAGAGATCACACTCCCAGAGTATGTGATGGGCCGACTGCTCGTATCGCAACTCCTCTGTCGAACATTGGCACCATGGTGAATCAATAAGTTTAAATGAGAACAATTTGCCTTTAAAGTTGCCGTGGCCAGTAAGAAATTGGGCAACACAGTGATCCACCTCCAACCATGTCCTCTCCAGCCGCTCATGCACGGATGGAAAGAACTGATACAGGTGGCGGCCCTTAATAGAAGATGCCCATCTACCCTGCCATTCAGTTATAAGCTCATCCCAAACGTCCGTTATTGGCTTAAACAATCTTGCAATTTTATTTCTATCACGTTCTGCCAGAAAGCTTGCTGACAAATTAGGTCTCGCACTGTAGTACATAGCAGCACGTCGCTGCACCTCAAGATCTACCGGAAG